AAATACTTAAATTTTTAATCGTACGCTTGATAAAGAAACGATAATTTATAAAAGACGTGGTATCTAATGTTTTTATGCTTTGATCTTACTTGTTTGGTCCATATATTATAAGCTCGTGAAGGTCTATAGGCGCAAATATGAAGTTTTGTTTTAGTTTATTAACTAGATCAATTAGTATTAAAAACGTTATTGCTTATTACAACTGCAACTTAAACTTTAAGTTATAACTTAAGTTGTAAATAATAACAGTAACTTACGCTATTTTAAACTCTGCCAAACAAGAAAATTATAAGATTATATTTAAATATAGAGATAATATATTAAAAGTAGAACAATTACGTACAAAAGTTACAATTATATACTAACGCAACTTCCCTCCCCCCCCCCCTCAATTACCGCAAAGAAGCGCAAGGTATAGGGGGAGGTAAAATTTTTTTTTTTTTGCGATTAGATTTTTTTTTAATTCGAGCCCTGTATATATATATATATATAAATATATATATATAAATATATATATATATATATATATATATATATATATATATATATATATATATATATATATATATATATATATATATATATATATATATATATATATATATATATATACCTTTGTATGATATTATGCAATGTTTTTCATGAAGGCAAAGCAAGTATCTTTTGTTACGTTGCTTTGCTGTAGGCGGGGACTTGTTTAATTATTGACCAGGTTAATTTGGGTGTTATTTTTAAGTTTTCTTTTACCTGCCATATATACTTCGAAAGGGTAGTTGAATTTTTCATCTTTTTGTTTGTGAATGAGTTTTTGTGGCTAGCCCATCTTTTTTTCCATTCACCTTCTGCTAGGCCAATATATACTTTTTCTGGAGTGTTAAGGGGAGAGGGTGTACTATACATTTATAAATAACGTTAAAGGCTCTACATTTTCCTATTATAGGGCAGTTTTTTTTATTTATGCAATTGCAGGGTGGGTATGCTTTTGGTCTTTTTGAACTGATTTTCTTGTTGTGGCTTTTTATAATTCTTTCAATATTTTTGGTACAGCTAAAACTCACTTTGGTGGTGTTTCGATTGAATAGTTTACTTAGAGGGTGGGATGTTGGAAAATGTTTGTCGATTAAGTTTAGGAAGATATGTCCGTCATTGGCAGAAATGCTTTTACTATACGGGGGGTTAAAATATATTATATTTCTTTTTCTTTTCTTTTTTTCTCTTTTTGGGGGATTATACTTTAAATTAAAACCAGTAAAGCTGTTTCTTCTAAATTTATCTTCGTATTCTAGTATAGATAAATTAAATGATTTTCCATTTGAGGAATTTTGTGATAATCTGTCGTTGATAGAGATGGGAGTTTACTTTATTATTTGCGGAGGATGGTTGAAATCAGTGTGGATGTAACATAGATAATCATTTGGTTTTTTGTAAGGTTGGTAGGAGTTTTTTTCTAAGTTAAAGGAGACATCTAAGAAGTTGACTGCGGGTAGGTTTGTGTGGATTTCTATTTTAAAACTGATCATTTTAATAACTTTAATTATGTTTTTTCGTATGCTATCAATTTGTTTGATCCAGTTTTTTTACGAAGTACCATAAAACCATCGTCACAATATAGTCCAACGTCTTCTTTATTCATTATTTTAGATAGTGAGTCTAATATATATAGGCCCACCAGTTCACAAACTTCTGCAACGTCAAAACAACCCATTGTGACATCAAAGCAGTCGTGTGCTTTGATGTTTGAAGTAAAATTTTATAATTGTTTTTGTACGTCACAATATTATTATATAGTATATTTTTTAACGAAAAAACAATGTATTTTTTACCTGATGATTGCTAAACGCATGAAACTTTTAGTAGTAAAAATTATGTAGTTATTTTTTATTTAATCTCATCAAAAAATCTTTATATATATATATATATATATATATATATATATATATATATATATATGTATATATATATATATATATATATATATATATATATATATATATATATATATATATATATATATATATATATATATATATATATATATATATAATAAAATGTAAGTTATGTAAAAACTTTATCCATAACATGGCTTCCTATTAAGTGAACATAAGTTGCACATTCTAACACCTAGTGTAATACTGTCCTCTGTCTCTATGCCAACCTTCTAACTGGACTTTTTCTAACTTTCTCTCTAACATCCTTCATTCTTTTAAAAATCACTTACTAGAAATTTTGATGTTAATAATTGTAAAATTATTATTTAATTACTTATTTGTATTTATATACATTGATTAATTTTTATTGTAACTTTTAAAATGAAATACTACTATTGAAAGTTTTTCTTAGGTTCATGCCTTGGTTTCGGTTTCAACCCAACCTTGAATTTTAAATGTACCTGGATCTGAATCTCCCATTGCTATGCTAGATGAATAGATAGATGTTTTCAAAGTTCCCTGGAAAAGCTACTGGCTGAAATCATGGATTTACTTCACAAGAATGCTCCTCTTATGCCACGAAAAACACGAAAGGGTCATTTATGATGATACTTTCATACTTGTTTGTAAAAAATCTATAAAAATATTTCATATTACCTGTAATGTATTCTTTAACTTAATCTACTTCTGATCTATATTTTCTTCTATATCACTACATCCTGATTATCTGCAACTGCATGCTCTACATGCTCGCTCTACATACAACTTTTCAACATTATTTTCTTTTCTTTTTTTTTTACTGTAAATAATGATTTATTAATCTGATCTAACTATTATTATTTAGATGTATCGCTAAAATGAATCCTGAAAAATGAAATTAAATTAAAGAGAAAAACTGGTAAAAAACCCGTTCGACCTAACCCAAAAGTTTCGAGTTTCGTAAACAAACAAGCGTGGACAGAGCTTCAATAGATCAAAAGACGTTTTATTTATGTTTATTATAACTATTATAACATAATATATATAACAACTTTTATAATATATTATAATTTGTCATAATAAAATATTATTTGTTATCATAAATATTATATAGTATATAAAATACAATATATATATATATATATATATATATATATATATATATATATATATATATATATATATATATATATATATATATATATATATATATATTAACCACTATAATATAATATAATTTGTTTATAATTATTATAGCTATTATTACTTGATGTGTATCATATTATAATACGAGTAGTTTTTTAATAGTCGAATTACATTTTTATAACATCATATAAATTCTATTCATTTATTTTTGACTTTAGCTTTAAGTAAATGTCTATTTGCTGAATTAACGAAGTTTTTCCGTTAATTTGCATGTAAAAAATGAAATACGGAAACAGTAAATTTTACGAAGAAAGTGCTGTCTGTGGTAGTATATTCCATCCGACGAAATATTCCATCCTTTTGCGCAAAACTCAAAACGAGGATGTGTATTTAAATTATAGTTGTTAGAAATGTTCCTTCTGAGTCCGAAATGAAACGAAACACAGATTTGGCTTAACACTATTTATAAAAGTAAATAAATTATTTTTAAGGTCACATATATAGTATTACCAGAAATACGATTAATATATGTAGCAATTTATTAAAAAACAATTAAAAAACAAGATTAATAATCTAATGTAATCGTAGATTATTCCATTCCGTCCCAATGCGTAAAATCAAAACATTATACTATTAACTATTTTCGGAACAATTCTAATGACTATAATTTAAAAACACATCCTCGTTTTGAGTTTTACGCAAAAGGATGGAATATTTCGTCGGATGGAATATACTACCACATGTCTCTTTGCTGCCTGACATTCTCCGTTATTTTGTACGGAAAAAATGAAATACGGAAACCGTGAGTTTTACGGAGAAAGTTCTGTAACCTTTTTAACGGACTTTTTCCGTTGATTTTTACGGAAAATAGAAACTGCGGAAACCGTTAATTTTTACGGAAAAAGTGCTGTCACTTTGCTGCCAGACAATCTCCGTAGATTCTACGGCGAATTTTTTAACAGTGTAGTTGGAGTTTTGATTTCGTAAAGTCGCTAATCAATAAGTTAAAGGCCAAAAAAGCCAGATTAGAAAAGAATGTTGAAAGGGAATTGGTTTCTATTAATGCTGAAATAAACCGTTTGTTATCCTCCATATATGATAGTTAGTTTTGCTGATTCTTGATAACAACATAGTAACATTTGTGTAGACTTGATTTTTCAGCTTTACTTTTTTTACTTCATATATTTTTTTTGCTGAATTTGTTATACTTATATCGGTAAGTTGATAAAACAGACAGTTTTAAATTTTCTAGTAGGGTAGGTGATCTGATCAAAATAGAGGGACGACTCACCGGGGAACGTTATATGGATATTCTAAGACAACATGCTGTACCATCCGGAAAGAGACTAATGGGCCATAATTTTATTCTGCAGCAGCACAATGACCCAAAGCATTGTTCCCGAGTGGCAAAAAATTATTTAAATGAAATGGCAGAAGAAGGAATACTGGAAATGATGATCTGGCCTCCCCAGAGTCCAGATTTGAATATAATCTAGCATATTTTGGATTACTCGGACAGGAAAAAGGTCGAACATGCTCCCCGAAATGCTGAAGAATGTTTTCAAGTACTTCAAAGAGAATGGCACAACATACCGCAGGATTTTATAACAAATTTGTATGAATCTATTTCCCGGAGAATATCGGCTGTGATTAAGGCAAAAGGAGGACATAGTAAATATTAAGGGTTTTTTTATGAAGTGTGACACTAAAAAGTTTGTTATTGTTCCATATTTTGTGTGAAATATATGTGTTTTAATAATTTTATAATATAGAATTCGAAACTTAAATATTAAGGAAGAATTCTCTTGGATTTTTTGAGAGTATGTAAGTGGTCTAAAACATATTCACAGTATTGTACGTACGGAGCAGACCTGATATTTTAGCCTAGATACATATTTTATTATTTTAAATATATTTATAAAAAAATTTTTTACAAATTTAACAAACCCATGCACAATCCTTGAACAGATCTAGCAATAATAGCCCATGAATAATTTATGCTGAACCCAAACAAAATGGTAGATACTGCAAGACTGGTTCCAGATAATAGCAGAGCAAGCTTAGTTCCAAATTTGTCACAGATAAATCCCCACATTATACTGTTTTATTAAAAAATATATTAAAAAAGATAAAATGTGATTCACAGTGCAATATCAAAAATATCTAAAAATATCTATGTTTAATATTAATTAAACAGTTATGTAAAAAGACAACAACATATTAACAATTTTATTGGGTTATTATAATTGGGTTCATAATATGACTATAAATTCAATATTATCTTTCATATTAAATTTACTATGAATATAAATTCATATTAAAATCATGCCATGAACTCATATAAAACTTTTTTGGAATTGTAGCAAATTTAAATTACATTTAGACTACTTTACTACTTTTGCACTATTGTTTGTACTGTATTGCTTGTTTTCGTCAACGAACACCATAGATTAATTGTCAAATAACACAATGCACATGTGTGTCGCATAACTAAATACTTAAGTAATATTATAATGAGTATTGTTAAATATTTAAGTATTATTGTACTTATTAATTTTGATATTCTTAGAAGTTTTAACTTAAATAAAATATTTATTGTCAATTATTTTAAATAATAGATAAGAAAAAAAACTTAAAATGTTTAAAAGTAGTGTTAAATAAATTGATAAATAAAAATTAAAATAGTCTCAAGATTAAACAAATAAAAGTTTTTGTCAACAATTGTCAAAAAAGTTCAGTCCCCTTCCCCCCTATTTTGTTGACGTAAATAAGGGACAACCCCTCTTGATCTCTACATTGTTAAGAATATTTTAAAAATATTTTTAAGTAATATTTTTTGTTGATCAAGTAACTTTGAACCAATATTCTTTAATTGATCGAGTAAGTATCAACTTTTTTTATATTTGCTTAAATACAATCAATATTTTATTAATATTTTTTGTTCGTTCTTATGTGCATTACCTTGGTCAACTATTGAAAATTAGCAATTGCGGTGCATAGGAACATGCTCTAAGACCTTGCGACACATTCGCAGAACTTTTGTGTTTGTTTATTTATTATCAGAAAATTTATTTTTCATGTGCAGGCGCATTTAAAAAGATAACAAATTTAAATAGCCTAAAATATTATGGGTTGCCTATTTTTTTGAAGTTATTTATTCTAGAGCCTAAAGTTATCTAGTTTAGAACCATATAACTTCTTCCTAGTAATTTAAAGCAATAATCAAAGTTTTTTAATTTTTTATTTGTATTTGAAAATTGTCTATTTTGAGCAAGTTTTTTAATGTTAATACCTTCAAAACGAATAACGCAATCAAGTAGATATTTTGCATGCCTAATATATGTATCATACAATAAATAGAAGTTTGGTAATGCTTTATGATTTTTCAAAATAACTAAAAACATGAAATTTCACCCAAACAATGTATTTCATAATGAGCATTAAGAGTCCCTTTTTCTGAAAATATTATAATAATACTCTACATTTTATTTCCTTTCTATCATAAAGTTTATTTTGAAAGATAGTTGTAATTCTTATAACAGTTCAATTTCTTTTAGCACCTACTTTTTGTAGCTTTGAAAATAAATATATTTTATGACAACACTTATTTTTATATTTTAAATCTTCAGACACATTTTCACTGTTTATATAATTATTTAGGTGAAAAATAAATTCAGGGCCGACGCGAGTAGGTGTCACGTGGAGGGGGGGTGCATTACATTTTGCACCCCACACCCCCCTATCGCGCCGGCCTTGAATACATCTGCTATGTAATATTTGGTACTCAAGGAATTACTAGTAAGATGTCTCCACTAGATGCTGTTCGAAGTATTTCAAACTTATTGATTTTGAACACAGAAAATGGATCACAAGATCATAAATCTTTACTTGCATTCTATATACTACTTGATAGACACTTCATTTCAAAAGACATATTTTGTCCTGTTGTTGCAACATTCAATGGTCACAGTTCTCGCTTCCATTATACCTTACTTCGATTTTAGAGATATTTATAATACATTTATTTATATGACCTCCAGACACTACTGGGGTAATGCAATTTCTTTATCAAATCAACAAGGCGCTTAATGAATACTATGCAAATGCAAAAGAAAATTTGTTAAGTCAACATAAAACATTTAATAAAGAGAATTTTATATTATCTCTTGCAAGTATGTGGAATAAGTGGGCTACACCAGAGATGATACTAAAAACTGGTAAGAAGGTTGGTATTACAAATGAAAGCTTAAATGTTGGATTTATTCCAACAAACTACAATGTTAGTTGAGAAAGTTCGAAAAGACTATAAAAAAAAAAAAAAACACAAACAACATGCAACAGTTTGTTTATCAGCTGCTTCTCTGAATGTTACTGATATTTCATCAGTTCTAAATGGCAAAATAAGTTCTTCCATATCTATGAAATGAAAAAATAGCCAAATATATTGGGAAGAAAAAACTTTAAACTAGAAAGTTTGCAGGACCGCCGAGAGGAGGGGGCTACCGAGACAGTTTGCCCGGGCGGCAGATTTCCAAGGGGCGCCAAATGAAATTTAGGTACATAAAAAAAAAAAAAAAAGGTCCTTAATATATAATATAAAGAAAATTTTATAAATAAAGGTGCCAATCAGGATTGGCGTGACAGCTCTCGGCGGCCCTGAAAGTTTGTCACTACTGGCATAAGAGACTTACATAAAAAAAGAACAATTCTTAATGATTTACCAGGTCATTTGACAACCCAAACAATTAAAAAAAATTAGCTCCATAGAAAATCAAGATGTGCTAAAACTTGTAGAGTCTATTAACAACTCAAACGAGAAAAAAATGCTTGAGAAAGAAGACATAGAAAGAAAAAAGAGAGAAGAAACTGAGAAGTACATGCAAGGAAAAACCACATACTATTATCATAACAATTTGCCCTATGCGTCAAATTGTTATGAAAATGGTACATGATAAATCAAAGTGCATTGTAGATCGTAAAAGACCAATTAAGATTTTACTTAATGGTTGATAAAACTATCCCTTGATAAAATTATTTTTAATTTGAATAATTCTCTTTGGAAATGTATAAACAATTACTGTCGAGCTCTTAAGGATGGGGGGCGTTTTTTAATTTTAATTTATTTTAAGCCTATTAAGGCCCCCTATTTATTAATTTTACTTGTTATCAGCAACAACAAAAATATCATGGAAAATCCGCTTTAAAAATTAAAAAACAGTTATTTTAGCCACTGATAAAAAACAAAAACTATCAGTATAAACAGGTTTTAAAAATCACCCACCAAGTAAATCTCGACTTGTCTTACATAAGCTTTTGGTTTATTTCTTACCAAAGTTTTAAACTTATATCAGCATATTAAACTCTATTGAAATTATTATAAAACAGTCGTTAGAAAACCCAAATTTGACCACAAGCTACGCTAGAATTAAATAGTTACATGCATCTTTTGTAAAAATATTAGTACGGATTTATAAACTGAACGAATGTCTTCATACCTTAACTGTAGTTTTGATTCAAAAGTTTTGAGACAATATTGAACACTATTATTATCTTCGATCATCTTGTCAATTGACAAGATGATCAAAGTATATTCTATTAGTGAGTTATTAAAATAACTCACTAATATAATATATTTTACTGTCTTTAGTGTTTTTAAGCCAACTGCAAATGTTTTTAAATGCATCGGTCATGGTTGAAGCTTCTGATCTAGTACTTCTTTGGCCCTAATATAATGTTTATGGAAAAGCAGTACTTACAGCAGTTCTTTTACCTTTTTACACTCAATAATAGCGTTGTGCGCTAGTAGCGTTTGCACTTAGTGAAACAGAGAAACAATATATATCTTAACATAACATATGTTGCCTTACTGAATCTTTATATCGAGTAACTGGATTTAAGCAAAGAAAACAACAAACTTTCCAGAGAAAAGCAGAAACAATAAAAATAACTTTTTGACACTACGGATATTTACTGGCTCTTGTCTATCTTGAAGGTCCTTTAACGTTCGAATCAAATTAGTAAGCATTATCAACCCCTTTCATTAACCAAATTCAGTTGCCTTCTATCACTTTCGCATATGATATGAAATTGCATGGACGCCATTCCAAACTAAATTACAATATACTACATGGAGAAAAAAAACAGAATTAAATGAAATCTCATTGAACAATATGCCAAAATACATCTTTTTATTTTTTTGATATTTCTTAACTTTGATTCCTGAAGAAAACTCTAAACACTTGTATGTTTATACTTTCCAGCTGGCACAAAACGTTTGTTGGACGTCTTAAGGACGTTGTATGGACTTGTGACATCTATAAAACGTTGTAAAAACGACTTAAAGACTATAACCGCTGGGTCATGTCAAATAAAGAATAAAATTATAATGATTGAACCCTGGAAACAAAAAAACGACTTTGGCCCTCCTGCTCCAAACGTAAGAGCAACAAGACGATAAAAAAAATGTACAACTTTGTTACTATTCTCAAAAAAATTTATATTCATCGATAAGTTTTTAATTTCATACAATAATCTCTTAGTGTTAAAAAATTATGACTGTATAAAGTTTAAATCCCTAATTTAAGTGGGTTTGTAGGAAATTTACTTACAAAAGGATTAGTGAATAGTAAAATTAGATCGGCATTTGCGTATATTTGTTTCTTAAATACATATTACTAATAAGTTAAACAAAACTATTCATAACTTATCGAAAAAACACGTTTATTTATAGATTGAACAAAAATTTCAATAAGTTAAACAAAACTATTCATAGCATATCGAAAAAAACAAGTTTATTTATAGATTGAACAAAAATTTCAATAAGTAAACAAAACTATTAATAGCATATCGAAAAAAACACGTTTATTTATAGATTAAACAAAATTTAGGTCTATTATTAAACAGACCAGAAGTAATTTTATAACTAGAAACATATTTAATTTGACCAGAAGTAATTTTATAACTAGGAACATATTTAATTTCACGAGAAGCAATTTTATAACTAGGAACATATTTAATTTCACCAGAAGAAATTTTATAATCATTAGAAAGCCGTGTGTGAAATTCAAGCTTTAGTAGTTCTAGAAATAATTTTGTTTTCTCAACTGCCAATTACAGCTAATTTCATATTTTTTAACTTAGGGGAAAGCGGGGCAACATGGCAAACGTTTTGAAAGCCCTGAGTTATTGTAAAACTATCAGTCGTGAAGCAACAATATTTTCTCAGTATGTTTATGTTATTAAAATCCTTCATTGCCTGCATGAAATTTCAGTTTGCAAATATAACAATTTGAAATAAATAATAAAATAAAAAGTTCATAAATTTGTCATCTGGTCACGTGACCGGGGCAAGATGACTTATTATGCAATTTTTACCTCCATTTTTATAAAATTTTAAAAACTAACAATAACTCTAACTAAAGTAACAAAAAATAAACACAAATTGCAAAAAACTACTTCGAAAGAAGTTAAACTTGAAGGATACCATCCATTATGAGAAACCGAAAGTAAGGAATTTTTTTTTAAGCGCAAAAATTAAACTTATGCGTATAAAATTGCGTTAATAACATTTCTAAAAGCCAATTGGTGTTTTGAAATACAAGATGCAAATACAGTTTCGCTTTCATCCAATTTTAAGATTTTTTGTTGAGTTGTTATATGAAAACCCATCTTGCCTCGTTCGCCATGTTGCCCCGCTTTCCCCTATATGTATATTTTTTTTAACACCTTTTCTTGTCTTATATATTCTGGGCATATCGAGTTCTGAATAAAAAAAAAATGGTTAAAAGGATATGTTTATGGGAGACTTCCCAGGAAAAAAAGTTCTGTAGAATTTTCTATAAACTTTTGAAACATATGGCCTATAGAAGTTCTATAGAATTTTATTGATTTTCTATAGAATTTCTGTTAACTTTTATAAAAATTTCTATAGAAATTGTTTTTTCTCCTTTTTTTTTCATAGAAAAAAAGTTTTATAACAATTTCTATAGAAATGAATAGACATTCTATAGAAATTCTATAGAGTTTCTATAGGCCATATGTTTCAAAAGTTTATGGAAAATTTTATAAAACTTTTTTTGCTGGGTTGATCCACTGTCATGCTTAAGCTTTTAAAATTTTTAACAAAAAACTTTATTTTATTTCAATAAATATCTTTCTTTGTACAAACTTAAGAGACAATCTAAAAAACTACATCAATAATGACTTAAAAGTCTTATCCATGCATTTTTTTAGTTTAGCCCGAAAACCATATAACCTCCGCTAAAGCCACTTTAAAATAACACTTTATAGCAAAAATCAAAACTTATGAAAATCTTATTACAGTAACATCAAACATAAAACCATCCTCTCCTTGCCTATTTGTAAAATCGGACAGATACCATTATTGCTAAAGGTTGTCAATTGTTATAGACTACAAGTGTTGTTAGTCAAAAATAATGTCATGAATTTAATATTTCCTTAACTCCTGAGTATCTTGTATCCCAGAGGAGCAAAGTCTCAATTAATATCAATTTGATTCAAACTTAATTTTAATTAGAAAAAATGAAACCTGCTAAATATTCTTGTCATAAACATCGATGATGCCATATAACCAGCTTTTTTTGCTGAAAAAAAATAAACAATACTAACTATAAAGAACTTGTTAGACATTTTGATAAACATCTAAACAAAATAAAAAAAGAAAACAATACTTTTTCACATTCAATAGATAAAAAAGTAAAACCAACTTATCATTTTTGTGATATACATACTTAACATACTAAACATATACATATTGGGTGCACAGTTTTACTTTCATTTTAAATGAGCGCCTTATACAATTTGTATCTAGCTATAGGTTCACTAGTCGCTGCCCACGATTGACTACTTAGATCTCAAAATTATGAAAGACTCAAAGGGTTTTTTACACGCAGAGTTATCCAAGAAATTATTAGACGCAAATCCATATTTTGAATTATTCTAGACATTAAAAACTATTAAGTGAGATGCTGAGATGCTGAAAAGATTCAAGAGATTCTGAAACATGAAGAACTTAAAAAAAAACCATGAAAACTATAGCTAAGAAAATTTTACGAAAAGACGATTCAATGCAATCATTAAAGCACCACAAAAGTTTTTTGAGCAACAATCAAAAAAACCTTTTTAATAAGTCAATACAATATATCAAATCAAATGAATGGGTCTGTCTTAAATGTTATTATGATATATATGTTAATATATAATATATCAACACACATATATTAAATTATGTGTACTTAGTATAGATCCTAACTCACCAGATGAAGCAAATACATACAACCATTGGTTCAAAACATTTAACAGTTTTAATACAAAAGTTTTAATACAACAGTTTTAATAAATACAGTTACTGATAATGAAATAAAGATTAATTTTTTCAGAAATTATATTGAACCTAAAGTGTATGAATATATTTGACAATGTGATGAGTTTGAGCAAGCAGCAAAAATACTAGTCTGTTTATATAAAATCAAAGAATAATATCTGCCAGACATGTTATATCTACAAGTAAGCAGAAAGCTGGTAAATCGATCGATCAATTAATAAAAAAGTTTAAAGTTTTTTTAGACTGTAAATTTATTGCTCTTAGCACTGAGAATTAAAGATCTGAAATGATTTGTGATAAACGGCTCACTTTCTACTTTATAAACGGCTCACTTTCTACTTTATAAACGGCTCACTTTCTACTTTATAAACGGCTCACTTTCTACTTTATAAACGGCTCACTTTCTACTTTATAAACGGCTCACTTTCTACTTTATAAACGGCTCACTTTCTACTTTATAAACGGCTCACTTTCTACTTTATAAACGGCTCACTTTCTAACATTATACGCCTGCGTTTATTAGAGAACAAGAATTAAGACCTTTCATCAGCCTTTGAATAAACAAAATTTTTAGAATGTGGCCTTAGAAAATTCAAACTTGTACTCGCAATCAACAATACTTATCTTCACTAACACTGCATCTACCCAGCTAACACAAAACGTTCGTTGAACGTTGCGAACGTTCTATGAATGTTTATAGAACGTGCTTGAACATTCACAACGTTTGTCGAATGTTCTTGAACGTTTTCTGTTAGCCGGGTATTCAGGAAATAAATTCATTTAAGCATACTGTTTGTTACAATAAGTAATAATTAGATAATGTAATGATTGTTACGCAAACTATGGCCTCTGAACAATAATTTCTAACAATCATTCAAAATAACGATTAGAGATTGCGAAATATGTAATTCCTTTTGGAAAATTACACAGAAAATGATCGCTAAAGAGACTAACTCCGCACGAGGAAATTTCACTTAAAAGCCATAGCGCTAAACTTAATAGAGTTTGAAATAACGACTCGAGAAGACATCACACATTTATATAATAATTATCTGTAACAATTTAATTTATATAGATATAGAAATAAATGTCAAACAAATACTAAATCAATTATCTTTCCAATAAATAAGAATACGAAATTTTACATGGTACCAGAGGTGGACTGAAGAATTTTACAAAAAAAGCCGAACGAAAAAAAAGTTTTGGAAAATGCTTATCTATAAAAAGAAAAAAGAAAATAAAACAGTTATTATAAAAGCCGAACGAAATGGACTTTAATGAATCTAATACTGCTGTTAAATGAAAAAATGTAAACAAAAAAGTTGTATTTAAAAGCAGGAATGTCAAAAATAAATCTGAAAAAGAAAAGTAATCAACATTTTTATTTATTATCAGTGAAAAAGTGAAATATTCAACACATGGACATGGAATAAAATAAAAAATGACGATGGTGAAATTGATGATATCACGGTTAAAGAACTGTTTGAAAGATTCGAAGAATAGTGTTTACCGAAAAGAAATCTGATTTTTGGAAAGAAGAAAGTTTTTCTTTCGAAAGAAAGATGCCAATGAATAATTTTTTTGTGATTTAAAAAATCTGGCTTAAACATTTGAATTTGAAAATATTGAAGATGATCTTATATTATATAAAATAATTGACGAAATCAAGTCAGACAAATTCTGAAATAATCTACTTTCAAAGGGAGCGGATTTAACTTTAAAAAAAGAGATTAGCATATGTAGAGTTGAAGAAGTTGCAAATATAGAAATGAAATTAATTACACATTAAAAAGAATTAATTACACATTAAAAAGAATTAATTACACATTAAATATTAATGTGGTAAAATTCATAAAGCTCAGACAAGCAAATGCGGTAATTGGACAAATGAATAATGGTTCAAATTGAAAACAATAGCAAAGGCTCTGTAAAAAATGCAAAAGAAGACAAGAACCACAAAACTATCCAGCATTTGGTCAAACGTTTTACCAATGTAACAAAAAAAATCATTGCAAGACTTGCTACAACTCAAAAAACATACGCAAAAATTGCGCTATTAAATACTATGTTGAATCTGTATCATCTGGTCATCTGGTGAAATGAAATGCAAAAAAAGAAGCAAAAAATCACAACAATCAAATGATTGTTGTGATCAAATCCATATCAGTTCACGTTTCAAAGCTTTTTCAATTAATGTGCATGCACCAAGATGAACTTTAGTGTTAGAACTAATATTGTCAAAACACGAGTCCCTGAACTTAACTGAACGTAACTGCCAGTAATCCAGCGCGCCAAGACAAGCATTATACTACTCTTTTTTTGAAACTGCCAGATTTAGATTGCATCCCTGCACCAACAACGGAGCGTTTCTCGATTCGTGCTTATTGAATTGTGTTACAAGATAAAGCAAGATTATTCAGATCAACGCCAAGCGTTTGTATGACAGCATCGACGACAAACACGGTCTTGAAGCTTTACGCGGTTGAGAGCAGCAGCAACCTCCTTTGTAACGATAGTTTTATTCACTTTTTTTTGGCTTCGGTTCATTAACAGTCAGGTCAGGTTTATCCTGCTACTGGTAACATGTAACCCAGTACAATCTGCTTCATGTCCTGCTGCCTTGTAGGATATGCCTTTTTAGGCAAAGGCTAGGAGATGCAAACTCCGACATAAAACACCCCCTGCCTTGGGGCTCTTGGTTGAGTAAAGGCTAGAGATGGTGTCTCGATAAAAATACTCATCTTGGGCAGATGTTACATGCATCCGGCTGCTGTCTTGTAGAAGGCCTCCTAGGCAAAGACTTAAGGGGTAAACAGATTCTATCTGTTGACCAGCCTCGCACCCCTTCGTCATCTATTAGGCTGGCGCAGATGTATTTTTAATACATTGTTTCCAGTTTAGGATGTTGAACGCTGGATCTTTTTGACTTGATTCATGGGTTTTGCTTGTGTCTCTGTTTTTATGACTAGGCAACTCATTCTATTATCTCCAAATGAGGGTACAGCTCTAAAACTCAGTTTTATGGTTCTGAGGCCGGCTGGTAGTCAGGTTTCCCGAACTCTGTGGTAGCTCTCAGAGAGGCTGATTCCATCAACAGCTGAAAAATATCAGAGTACTAACAGTGCCATGTTGCGCATGGATGGTGTCCCTGTTTGTACTTTTGGTGTGCATTGCCAAGGCCACATTGGAGCCCTTTGTTACGGCTTAGGGTTTATTAGTGGAAATGAGGCAATTGCTTGAGCTATAGAACAGTGTACTGAGTACTATCAATGTTTCGAGTCAAGTTTTTTAACAAATTTAAAAACGAATAAAGTAACAAAAACTATAAAACACAAAAAACCACAGTCATCACCAAGTTTGCTAAACCTATCATTCACCAATATTCGTGGTCTTCGAAGTAACTTTTCTTCTGTTGAGTCTTATCTCTTGCAAAGTTCACCAGACCTGCTTGCTCTTTGTGAGACTAATTTGAGTTCAGCTGTCTCATCATGTGATCTTAGTGTTGATGGTTATCTTTCCTTAATTCGTAAAGACTCCAACAGTCACATGCTTGGCCTGGGCATTTACATTCGTAAAAATTCACCCATTTGTCGGGAAACTAGGTTTGAATCCACAGACTACTCTTTTATGTGCTTTCGTTTAGCACCACTTCACTCTATTACCTTTCTCTTTGTTCTATATCGCTCTCCCTCATCCCAAGACTGCACTCTTCTTGATGTTATTTCTGATTATATTGATTAAGCCCTCATTCTTTATCCATCAGCCAATATTGTTGTTGTCGGTGACTTTAATGTTCATCATTCTGAATGGCTTGGCTCTAGTGCCAGTGACTCTGCAGGCATTAAGGCCCACAACTTTTGTCTTTCTCAATCCCTAACTCAAATAGTCAACTTTCCAACTCGCTTTCCAGACAACCCAAATCATTTACCTTCTCTGCTCGACTTATGTCTTGTTTCTGATCCTAGTCAATGTTCAGTTTCTTCACACTCACCCGTAGGTGCGTCTGATTATGGTTTGGTCTCTCTAAAACTATTATCTCATTCTTCTTTACCATTAGAATCCCCCTATCATCGTACATCTTACAACTACCTTAAAGCTGACTGGGACTCTTTTCGTGACTTTCTTCGTGATGGCCCCTGGGTAGAAATCTTTCGTCTTCCTGTTGACAAATGTGCTTCTTACATAACTTCGTGGATTCAGGCTGGCATGGAATCATTTATTCCCTCTCGACGATTCCAGGTCAAGCCTCACTCTTCTCCATGGTTTTCCTCACATTGTGCTGCTGCAATTGCCAATCGAAACCATTACTTCGATATCTATCAGCAAAACAATTCTCCAGAAAACAGACGTCTCTTTATTACTGCTAGGAACCATTGTAAAAAGGTTTTTTCTAACGCCAAAACCCGCTACTCTCAGATCATGAAATCTCGTATTTCATCATAAAAATTAGGCTCTCGTGACTTCTGGAGAATCTTTAATAGTATCAATAATAAGGGCAAGTCTGTAATCCCACCTCTTTTGTACGGTTCAGACTCTGTCACCTCACCTAAAGACAAAGCTGAATTGTTTGGCAAGAACTTATCATCAATATCATCTCTTGATGCCACTAGTTGCGTTTTACCTGATATACCCGTCAAACAGGTTGATCCATTGCTCGACATTCGTATCACTCCAGCTTCTGTATCTAAAGTGATTTCCCGCTTAGACTCTTCTACAGCTTGCGGCCCGGACAACATACCTGTTATAGTCTTGCAGAAGTGTTCTCCTGAGCTGTCGTCTATCTTTTCAAAACTATTCAACAAGTGCTTATCAGAGTCTTGTTTTCCAGCCTGCTTGAAAGCAGCATCTGTTATCCCTATTTTAAAAAATTCTGGACAGCAATCTGACTCATCTAACTACCGTCCCATTAGTCTTCTTCCTATCATAAGCAAGGTTTTTGAATCTTTAATTAACAAACACTTAATCTCTCATCTCGAATCTCATAACCTACTTTCTGATCATCAGTATGGATTTCGATCTTCTCGTTCTACAGCTGATTTGCTATCAGTAATAACCGATAGGTTTTATCGCGCATTAGATAAAGGTGGAGAGGTTAAGGCCATTGCTCTTGACATTTCTAAAGCGTTTGATAAAGTTTGGCATGCTGGTCTCCTCCATAAGCTTTCTTCTTATGGTGTATCTGAAAACATCTTTAAGATTATTGAATCCTTTCTTTCCAATCGTAGTATAAAAGTTGTCCTTGATGGACAGCACTCTTCTTCTTATTCTGTAACCTCAGGGGTTCCTCAAGGTTCAATCCTTGGCCCTATACTCTTTTTAATTTACATTAACGATCTTCAAGATATTCTCACATCTAAGGTGGCATTGTTCGCTGATGATACTACCATTTATTCTTGTCACGATAAGAAGCCAACTCCCTCTGATTGCTTGCAGGGGGCATCTGAGCTCGAAACGGATCTCACTTCTGCTACAGCATGGGGCTCGCAGTGGCTGGTGAACTTTAATTCAGATAAAACTCAATTTTTTTTGGCCAATCGTTATTGCAATAATTTAGACCTTCCTATATTTATGAACGGTAGTGTACTCAATGAGTCTCCTACCCTTCATCTTCTAGGATTAACTCTTACTTCTGATCTTTCTTGGAAATCTTATATCAAATCCGTTGCAAAATTAGCATCTGCTAAAGTTGCTTCTCTTTATCGAGCTTGTCACTTTCTTACTCTGGATTCTATTCTCTATCTCTATAAATCTCAAATCCGGCCTTGTATGGAATACTGTTGCCATATCTGGGGCGGATCTTCTAATGATGCCCTTTCTCTTTTAGACAAGGTGCAAAAACGCATTGTAAACATAGTTGGACCTGCTCTTGCAGCCAACTTTCAACCTCTGTCACATCGTCGCAATGTTGCTTCTCTTTCTCTTTTCTACAAATACTATAATGGGCACTGCTCTAAAGAGCTAGCGTCTCTTGTGCCATCTACTAAAATTCATTCTCGTTTTACTCGTCATTCAATTAAGTCTCATCCTTTTTTTGTTACTGTTCCTAAGTGCTCCAAAAACTCTTATTCGTCTAGTTTTTTTCCTCGAACATCAGTTCTTTGGAACTCGCTTCCTTCATCTTGCTTTCCTGATTCATATAATTTGCAATATTTTAAGTCGTCTGTCAATCGTTATCTTGCTCTACAATCTTCATATTTTCTCTTCCAGTAACTTCCAACACTAATTAGTGGTTGCTTGCAACCTTGTTGGAAGCGAAGATAATTAAAAAAAAAAAAAAAATGTGTTCATGAAATTAAAGGCGCATCAAAGTTGTTATCATTTAAATCTTTACCTGATTTGCTGCTAGACTCGTCAAGGTCCACTGGCAGCTGCAAGTGCTTGTTGCACTGCAATATCAGATTTTTGCTTTAAAGAAACTGCCTGCAAAAGCCCAAAATTTAAACGAGTCTTTTTATCCGTAAGAGACTTAATTATACACCGGCTATACTTGCACCATGGGTAATCTCGCATCATCTGAAGAAACTGTTCTCCTCATTATTGGTCATAATTGCTAGTGCATTTTTAGTTGAGATATCAAACAAATAATCAAGATCACTTATAAAAAATTTTTCCTTCATTCTACAGCTGATTTTCTATGTCAAACGATTATTTTTAAATCACAATAGTGATCAAACAGCTTTTGTAGCTTGCGCACGCCGGAATCAACGCGCTGCGTTTGAATGCAGACTTTACCCTAAATCACTAGTGCAGCATCAATGGTTGATTTAGCGCTCACCGCGTCTGTCATTCTAAGTTCTTAATGATAAAACAGAAAGTTTCTCAAAATCGACTCTTTACCAGGCAGATCCGATAATTTTCTCATCTGGCATTCCAACAAGCCATACACTAACAGCGCCCCTAGTCCTGGTTGTAGTAGCCATGTTCAAATTATCTTAGATATAGTAAAATTGATTTTTCAGCAAGAGCATGAAATATGACGATCCATGATTATCCCAAGATTATCACTATTTTTTTTTTTTTTTTTGCATAAACGACTGCTTTATTAACTAATTGATTCCTATTCTTTGTTAAAACAATCTTTTTTCACAACATTAACTGCATCTCCTCTTGCACTCCATAGAATGTTTTGACTGTTTCCACTTGACAAGTGACGGTCAAAGTGGAAACAGTCAAAACATCTCAGCATGAGTCAAGAAAGAGAAAAATCTGAATAACTGCTCTATAGTTCCACAAAATATAACAGAATTTACAGCAGCTAATGCTTCATGCACACCTGTTAAATTTAAGTTATGGTTTTTAAATGCAAAAAATTTTTTATAATGAGTTGACATCTAAAAGTTTGAAATTTTTATAAATATAGATATTTTCCTTTTTTACCGTATTTTTTTTTAAGTCTACTTTTAAAACTTTTTCTCGTAAGCTCTTGAGTTATGTTCTATTCCTTTTTTTTTACTTAAGTTTTAACTTTTTGTTTTTAACTTTCGTTCAAAAAAAACGTTGAAAATATAATTTAAAGATATTATTTCGCATAATAATAACTATTTTGATGCTTTTCAGAACAAAATATAAAATACTGTGTTATTGTATTTGGGTAAAGATGCGAAACATAATAATAACTATTTTGATGCTTTTCAGAACAAAATATAAAATACTGTGTTATTATATTTGGGTAAAGATGCGAAACATAATAATCACTATTTTGATGCTTTTCAGAACAAAATATAAAATACTGTGTTATTATATTTGGGTAAGGATGCGAAACAGATTAAATTACTAAGTTGTGACTCCTAGCTCTAGTTCTTATAACAGCATTATAGGTTTTGGATTTTTTTACAAAAAAAAAAAAGATTTGCCGCATCTAAAATAATGCCACTCAGGGCGGTCCGAAAATTAAAATTTAAAAATAAAGCGGAGTTGCTATCGCACCTCGTTATATTTTCAAACTTTGATTTTTCTAGTTGCCAACGGACCAGAAGGTAGCGTAGCGCTTTTAATTACTAAGTTGTGACTCCTAGCTCTAGTTCTTATAACAGCAGTAGCTGTACTTCTGCTTTATTACCTTTGATAATATCTGGTTCTTGTAGAATCAACCAACCAATTGTAATCATTTTGAAACAAACTAATTGTTTCAAAATTTTTGTATTTGGTTGATTGTTATCAAAAATTGTATAAACATAATTTTAATAGATAAAATTTTTAAAAAATCAATTAAGAAAAGAATTTATGAAAGACTCACCTGCATCAACTTCTGATGCACCAAAAACCTAAAAACACATTTTTAATTTTTTTTTTTGAGGCATAAAAAAATAAAATAAAATTATAAAAAACATTGTTTCTATTGTTTTTAACGCCGGTAAAATGGTACGGCGTAAATGTAACTAAATATATAGGCCTTAAATCCTAAAAATTTTCGAAAATGTTTGGAAAAAGTTTTCAAATTAAAAACTAATAAAAAAGGTTTGAGGCATCCGATATGCTTTATTCCTAAACCGTCCCATGTTATCTTATTTTTGTTTTTAGGGGTCAGGTTAAAGCTTTATCACTTTCTCATTCTATTTTGCTATGCACACTTTCATACTTAGTTGTTATCATTGAAATATAAAAACCCAGATCCAATTCAACGTCTCCACAAAAAACCTCCATCTACCCTCATACTACTATTATCATACTACCCTCATACTACCCCCTATTGACACATATATTGTCAATTTGTTGTTAAATTTAATTTCTTTAAATAACACCATAATGATAATTTGACAATACATAAATCTTATACTCCCTCTGTTCCAAAATACTGTTCCGATTTGAATTCAATATAAAAAAAATTATTAAAAATAAATTGTTTTAGTTAAAAACATTTTTTATATAAAATTTAGATCCTTTTTTATAATATTATGAACAATTTATTGCAATATTATTATCTTTCCATTATTTTCCATATTATATTATCCATCAGGATAACACTTTTTTTTCGCCAATGTTGTTTTATGTAAGATATATATTCGCATTACACTTAATTGAGTTATTTCGCATAGCTTGATATTGCATCTTCAATAAATTCGATTTGCTTGTTTTTGTCCTGAATAAAACGTTTTATTTCATTTGCAGATCTACATTTGATAAACATTCTTTTAATACGTACAGCAAACTATATCGCTTTTTCTTTTTTTTAACCCCACTTTTGGTACTTGTAAGATTTTATCAAGATCATGATTTACTAACAATATGAATGCGTGCCGACGTTTACTTCACTAGAACATATTTTTGTATTTTTGACATGGTCTCCCCAATGACTGTTCATTTAAACTAGAAACATTTAAATCGACGATTTTAAAACAATGATTGTTTGCTAGGTTCCTGATTAATTAAAGACAAAATTTTATTAATGAACCAAAATGACTCGCCACTTAAAAATCTGCTCTTATTTCGAAAATACTTTTTGCTTAGTTTTGATCGCCATTTGCGTCCTAATTCGAAAAGAGCTTTTTCAAAACGAGTAAAATCATCATTTAAATCGATGGATACGTTTAATTCGTTTTTGAGCATACTATTATACTGATCTACGATTTGTCTTGACATAAGTTATGAAATAGTGTCTTTAATTTTTTCAAATACTTCAAGTTGATTTATGTTATTAAACATTTTTGTAAGATAACTTAATTATTTGTAAGATAAGAGTTTTAATAATGCTATTTCAAGAGAAAATTTAAATATCTATAATTAAGTGTAAATTTATTCAAATAATTTTATTACTTTCGGGACATAATTGCAATCAAATCGCTGCAGTTATCAACTAATTAGTCTTCATATAATCATATAGTATCATATAAATTTCAAATTTCGAGACAAATAAATTTTTTCACGTCACAATGCATTGTAAAGTAAGAATTAAATTAGCCTAAAACCTTGAAATTTCAAAATTGATTTTCAGTCTAACTTATTGCTAGTCGCAGCTGATTTTATTTAATTGTATTAAACAACCGTTATACTTTCTAAATATCATTAATTTCAATTTCAAGAGAGCGGCATTTGGTTGGAATCAAATACTTAAATAATTGATTTTAACGTATTTATAGTGAAATGATTTTTTTTCTTTTTCCTTTTTAGAAAACATTAATTTAAATTTAAATTAAAAAAATTTATATTAAACAATAACGGTTTGATGCGATTAATAAAATTAAGAATATATATATATATATATATATATATATATATATATATATATATATATATATATATATATATATATATATATATATATATATATATAATTCCTTAAACAAATATCTTAACTTTAAATTGGTCTTTTTATAAAAGCAAAAAAAGTCGTCGATTTTGAACTAAAAATATATCATAAAGAATACAAGGTCGCAGCTGGGTTTTTTTTTTGAACAATAACTGCCGTTTAGTAAATGCGAAAATCAGAAAATCAAACAATCTTCGAGTGGCATTTAGAAAAAGGAAGATGAGGAAATTTGGAAAAATACCTTTAAAATACCAACAATTCTAAGACATATTATGAATAAATTAAATACAAATATATAACTAAAACATTTACTTTTTATAAGCACTAAGTTAATATGTTTATTTGAAATAAAAATAGTCCAAAGCTTTTTTAAATGAAAAAAGTTATGTAAATTTTGAGGATAAGTATTTTTAAAAAAAAAAATTTCGAAAACTCGACAATTTTAAAGCTATTATGAATGGTTCTAGGAAGCTTGCCTTCATCTCTAGTAATTAAACGGATACATTTTTGAGTATCTATGTTTCAATAATAAAATTAAAAAAAAGTTTAGAAGATTTGACTTTGGACTATTAGATAGGACTATTGGCCACGGAAAAAAAATTCTGGCCCACTGTGCAGCGTCATAAAGATATCTTAAACAAATGTGTTAAGTATTTATATTCCAAAAATGCCTCTTTTATTTGAAAGTAAAGTGACTTCTTGCTTACAGTTTTAAAATATTCAATGAGTAAAAACCTCTTATTTCATCTCTTTATAGTTGTTTGAATAAATTACTAAGCAAAAATGTTTCAGCTTTTGTAAAACTTCTGCCTGATAGTATTAAGCTAAAACTTTAAACTCGTAGAAAATCACCGAATATTTGTAAACAAAATAAAACAACGAGCTTCTTAATTTTTATTTTTTTTATTAAACCAATCAAAACGCGCATAAAATAAAACGCCATTTTTTGAAAGCGAAAGGGCCTTAACGCTATATATTTTTCTTCGGATCTCTCCTTAACTACGCTGACGTATGACTCTATTTGTTTTTAAATCTGTAACAAAAAAATCAGTCTAATCAAGAAAAATTAGTAGTTTAATTGCTCTAGCAATTAAACTACTAATTTTTCTTGATTAAACTCCGCTCTTATTGCATTTACTGCAATAACAATAAACTTAGAAACAGACAACATTTTGGTTTAAAAAGATTTTAAATGTGTTTTAAATATTTTAAAATGTTTTGAATATAATGACCATCTTCCATTGCGTATTTTATACGCTATTGTAGATGATCATTCTTAAAATTATCTGAATGAAAAAAGGGCTTTATAAATAGCACTATTGTATTATTAAAATGGATTGGTACTAATTATAGTACCGATGTACTCGGTACTTAAAAAGACTTTTACCGTAACTACTTTTTTAATAAAGGTGTACCGAAGTACAGAGTACCATGACAACACTAATTTCGGGTATACAAGTTCAATACCGACAGCAAAACTGATATTTCGGCAATCATTTTACCAAAACTAATACCGAAATTTTAACTAAGCAAAAGAAATGTCTTTAGAAAATGTTAACTAAAAATGCAATTTTTTCATTTGTTGTTTACTCAAATTTATTGATTTTTAACAGAATTTTTTTTTCTTTTTTTTTTTTTTTTTTTTTTTTGACAACTACTTTAAATCTTATATTATAATAATAAACTAAAGGCCGTTTTCCACAAGACGAAATATTCGGGCGAAGCGAATTTTTTCGTCGATAAGCATGCGCAGATAAAACATTTCTCGCAATTATTGCCAATTATTGCGAGAAATGTTTTATCTGCGCATGCTTATCGACGAAAAAATTCGCTTCGCGCGAATATTTCGTCTTGTGGAAAGACGAAAAATTCGCTTACATCCACAAAATTTATCCTTGTTTACTTTCTCTTTTAACTATTTAAATTAAAAACTTATTATTTATTTATTTTTAACAAACCGCCATCAACGCAAGAATCAAAATAAAATGCGCACTGCAAAGGTTTGTTAATATTTGCGGCTTTGATATTTTTAAGAAGCAGAGGGAACGCACTATTTAATAATTTTAGAAACAGTAAAATTATATAAATTTGAATTTTTAGTTTTCGGTATGTTTTTCAACTGAAATTTTGTTTCTCGCCGAATTTATATTAATTACCAAAAAGTACCGAAACTTATCGGCTCAAACTGAAATTTCGGCCGAAACCGAATTTCGGTCAATCACTAACTATATCTAATTTTCAGTTTTTAACAAACCTTGATTTTAAACTTATTTTAACCTTGATTTTAAACTTATTTTACAATTAAGAGTCGCTTAGGTTTTTTAATGTTTTGTAAGTGATGTTAGTTTGTAGGGAAATTAGTATAATTACAAAAAAAGAAGCCAAAAGATCGCATTTATTGCGCAAGTCAAGTTACTTCGAGGTGTCACGATTAAGATTTTACATAATCCTAACATAATAATTTGAAATAACGTAAAAACTAGACTTTAAGTAAAATTAGGAATAGTTAAAGTGCAAACTTCTATAAGTACAAACAAAAAAAGCAGTAAACAAGAACGTTGAAAAAATTCGAAACTTCTTAATAATAATGACTTTTTTTCATAACACTTTTAAAAGTGTTATGGAGCTAAAAATGTTAATAGGGGGTTGTATAAACTATTTCGAAAAAAAGAATGAAGCTTCCATGGTGAAGTAACCCCATCGGTCTAGGAAAGGTGAATAAATCAATTTTTAAAAAACGCTAAATTAAAGAAATAAAAATAGACAAGGTATAGAGAAGCGACTAAAAACCATTAATGTAAAAAGTTAGAAGCAACCATAAAACTTACTCTTTATATATATACTCTTTTGCCCTATTGACCTGTAATTGTGTGTTAGAAACTATCATATTGAGAAATAAAAAGTTTGAACAACTTTTCCTGTTCACTTAAACTACCGCCGAATTATTATTTACTCTAATACTAATTTACTGTTAACTATTAATAATATTATTATAACAAAAAATTAATATATGAAACACTATACTAAAAGCAATATACTAAAAAATATACAGGCTGCGTTAAAAAAATTTTTAGCCTGTATATTTTACACTAATTTGTAGTATTTAAACCATTATCCCTATTTTTTTTAATATTTGTCTTTAGATATTTGTTTAGTAACAAAATAATAACATATTTGTTTAGTAACAATGAACTTTGTGTTATTATTTTCTTTTAAGTAATCGCTACTGTCTGACTATGGTGAAGTAAAAAAGTTTTTGCAATGCTTAAAAAAAAATTTATTTCAAAAATTTTAAATGATAAATTTAAAAAATTGTCTAAGATAAAGAATTATTAACAAAAAGAATTGTTACAAAGTTTTAGGTAATAAAACGTTTTACTAAGTCATATATCTTTTTTGACTACAAAAATAATAATCTTTAAAAATAAAAATTGATTAAATAATTTAAATTTTTACCTTGACAAGTTCTGGTAAATATGGGAAAACATTTGTTATAATCATTCCGTTGCAAAGCTAAATTAAATTGAAAAATTTTGTCAATGTGAAATTCAAAAACTAATTAAATTTTAGTTGATTATTGTAGTTTGCTAATTGACGTATGCAGATGAAATTTTTTCTAAATATATTCCTTAAAAAAAAATTATTATATAAGCCAAAGTTATTCAATACTTTTTTGTCACGGCTTATCGAAGGATACAGTTACTATATCCAACGACAAAGAATCAAACTATTGTAAACACCCAAAAACAATCATTAAAGCTTACAATGAGTAAAAAAGTCGTGACACAAATTCCGCTTGGTAGCGGAGTAACGCCTTGACCAAAGATAACCTTATGAACCAAACTGCTGATTTTCATTTTCTCTTTCAGCTATCTCGTTCGCAAATGCTTTTCTTCAATCTGCGTTAGCTATTACGCTATTAATATTATAAGAGTTTTAAAAATTACTTTAAACAATTATACAATTTTTTTAGTTAAATGAACTATAAAACAAATTTTTAAAGTTAATTTACATTATTCAGATTATTTTATATAATGTATAGTTTATAAATTATTTATATGTTATGTACTTAGTTTTTTGTGTCTACATTTATTTTTAAACTAATTAATATTATTATTTATATAATACAATAATTTAATAATAAAAAATGCGCAGTTATCACGTGAATACATTTTATATATTGAAAGTAATTTAATACGCTTACTTGTTTCGCATTTTTGAAGCTTTTTTACAAAAAGCTTGGGTCGAATTTTGGTAACATTCGCATGACGTCAATGTCAATGTATCACATTTCCCACATTAAACTTATATAACTATTTTATTAACACAAACAAAATCTAAGTTTGTATTAAAATAACAGTCGATTAAAATCACTGATCCATATCTGCTTGTTGATCCATAAACATTTTTATTATAAAAATTTAAAAGTTTTTATTTATATAAGTCTTTGAAATACAAGAACTCGGTTAAAAAGTCAAAACTTCATTTAAATGGTAAAAACATTTGTCAACAAAATTTGTGTCACACTTTGATAGCCATTCTTTTATTCCAGCTATGTTTTTTTATTATAAAGTAATATTCATAATTCGTACTACGAAAAGTAAAGAAACCGTCGTAAAACTAGATACGTCAAAGAAACCATCATAAAATCTGTCGGAGTTTATGAAAACATTGCGATTAGGGATCGTCCATAAATTACGCAACGCCAAAAATGTTTTAAGGAGATATTAAACTCTTACGCGGCAATTTTCATTTAACTTAATTTCCTATTTTGATTATTTATTTAAATTAAGACTCTGCGAGGGAAAACTTTTGATCTTTTTTTGTTTTCTTTATTGTGAAATTTTGCGTTACGTAATTTATGGACGATCGCTTATTAACATATCAAGAAAGTGTAACAACAATCTTAATTATTTATCATGTTTTTAATATAAGGGATCGTACATAAATTACGTAACGCGAAATTTAACTAATAGACAAAAGAAAAAGTGTTAAAAGTTTTCCTTAGCAGAGTATTAAATTAAACCAAGTATAAATAACCCTAGTAGTCCAGCGAAAGCCGCCGCTCAAAAGAGCAAAATGTTCTCCTACTTATATTTTTAAAATAAGCTTTGCGTTGCGTAATTTAAGGACGATCCCTAAGAGATCGTCAATTAACTACGTCACGCAAACTTTCATAATAAACAAAACAAAAAAGATCGAAAGTTTTCCCTCGCAGAGTCTTAATTTGAATAAAAAATTAAAATAGCCTTAATTTAATTAAATTAAGGCTATTTTAATTTTATTTAATTAAATAAAAAATCAAAATAGCAAAAGTTTAAAGGTGAGTTTTCACTCATCCGTTTTTTCACGGGAACGGGATAGGAAAGGGAAAAATAATCACGTGAGAATGCGCAGTTTCCTTACGGACAAATAAAAACTTTTATTACGCATGCTCACGTGATTATTTTTCCCGTCCCTTTCCCGTTCCCGTGAAAAAACGGATGAGTGGAAACTCGCCTTAATGAAATCGCCGCGGAAACACTTCTGTTTTTAAAATATATATTTTGTGTTGCGTAAATTATGGACGATCTTAATTTTAACTTAACATTAGTTTTTTTTAATAAAAACTTTTCTTAGAACTAGTTTTTTTAGTCTTAAAAAAACTACTCGTAGTTTTGCTAAGGTTCATCAAAACAAATACTGGGCCCGTCACAAGTTTGGACTTGTTAGGAAAACCGCACCCAAATGTTTTTTTTCCAAGGCTTCTCATTTTTATTTATTAAGTTAAACCATGCTTTTATAAGCTAATTTTTAAATAAAGGTTTGCTCAGAGAAGAGACAAAAAAATAAACAGAAAACAATAGGCAAATATATTTTTATTGTTGAGGGCACAATGTAAAACTAGATATTATTTGTATTCGGTATAGAGTCTCGGTTAATCCTTTAGTATCAGCCTGATACCTTACAGTTCAGATATCGAGAACACGCGATATTGAAAGTATCGGTTATGTTGGCATCGTTTGGTACCGATAGTATCATTTGGTATCGCAGCCCTGGATTTTAAAAGAATTTATATTTTATTTTTATAGTCGATTAGTAATTTGAAATAGTAACTTTTATAATAACTGCTGGGAAGTTGGGGAAAAGTGGGATATTAAAAAATATTTCTAGAATAGTTTAATATCTTATTTATACGTACTGCACCGAATAAGTTTTAACAAATAAAGCAATCATTTGGATACTGATTTGATCAGCTAAGATTGGCAGCAGGTTATTATAAATTATACAAATTTGGGATAACCAGGGGATGAAGTGGGACAAGTGAGTAATTAACATATATTTACAAAAATTAATAATTAAAAACAATTTAAATCTTAAACAGCTTAATCTTAATCGATATTCCGCGTAATCTTCATCAATATTCCGCGTAATCTTCATCGATATTTCGCGTAATCTTCATCAATATATTCAAGAGATTTTCATAATATAATTACACAAAAATGATACCGGAGAAACAGGATATTAATGAATTTTCTTTGTTCCACTTCACTCCTCAAAAAATTATTTATTGGGGGTAAAAATGTGGTTTTTACCACACGCATGGAGACAAAAACAGGTATGTTTGCTAAATAGAGGTTAAAAATCTAATTGTTTACTTCATTTACATTGGTTAGAACCCTTTCCTAATTGGAGTTTTTGAGATGTCCCACTTTTCCCCTACTCTCCCCTTTATAATTGATTTATATCTAATTATAAACTCTACTTGATATTTGTATAAAAAGTGATTTTAAAAACTTGATGATACACAAAGAAAAAATACTGTATTTTATTAAATTTTATTTTTTACTTACATTACAATTAATTGAATAGCTTCATCTGGTAATGTTTTTTTCAATTATTATTTTGTTTTTTAAAAGATGTATTGGATCTTATTTGATCTGATCTTGATAGAAGGCATTTGAATCTGATTCATCAGTTTTTAACCTTGATATTTTTGCCGTGTGCTTAAGTCTAGAATTTTTTTATCTGTTTTTGCAAAATAAGGAAGGCTTTCAAACTCTCCAGTACATCATCCAAATGACTGAAATACAAAAAAAAAACCAACTTGACAAAGATGCAGTAGCAGTTTGTGCAGTAGGAGAAAAAATATGAGTCGTACTAATTCGTTATACGTTTGCTGTTTCAGTATTGAACAAATGTAGCTCATTAATATTAAGAAAATATCCACATGATATGGTTATGAGAATATTCTGCAATCTTTTAATTATGTCACAATCAACTTGGTTAAGTTCAGAAAAAACTATTGCTAAACTCATGTAAACATGCCTAAAGCTGGGTTTAGCAATAGCAATGAGGACAATACTGCCCAAAGAGCATTGAAAATCAATATGCCATTTAGGCTTAACCATTCTATGAAAAGTAACTGAATCTCTTTATTTTTAAAGCTTACAGATAACCTCTTCTTCATATTTTTTTCCCTTTTGACTTATAATTTCCATTTTATAACTCATATGAATAATAAACACCCTGCACTTTTCCTTTTTTTTTTTTTTCTTTCTCTGTTTACATAACATAAGAATTTTACAAATTCCACTACATAATATAAAATTTAACAAAAAAAGTAAAACAGATAGGGGCTTAAAGAAGATGAGGATGACAGAACGCAATCTTTTCATAAAACCCCTTAAACAAGATTTAATTAAAATATCGTAATATGACATACAAAATAAAAATCTCAATAAAATATCATAACAAAATGCGTAATCCGCTGATAAAATTTGTCAAGCAGCAAACAAAAGTAGAAACAAAACAAAAACGTATTTAAGAGAATTTATCCAAAGCATTATTAACAAAAAATGTTTCACAGGTTTTAAAGATTTCTTTTTTGTTAAAAACTTGAATGAACATAACGAACTCACCGTACCTTTGAACCCTTTTTGAAAAATATTCCATACTTTTGGACCTCGATATAAAATGCTATATTCTGAATATTTATTTATTATCCTAGGCTATATTCTGAGTATTTATTTATATGTGCAGTTTATATGTGTTCAACATATTCGCTCTAAGATTATAGTTATAATTTTTATTTAACTCAAACTTATTATTAAAGCTTATAGGAGAGATATTGTGATTGTAACGATACATGAAAATTAAATGCTGGTAGATATTTTTTTCAAATACATTCATCATTTTCATATCTTTCATCAAGGGATTAGCGTGTTCTTGCCTTTTGGTAATTTTTGACTGGATATATATTATATGAGGAAGCCAGGATAATTTTTCATCAACAACGATTCCCAAAAATCTTATATTGGGTTGCTTTTTAATTAATTTATCATTTATAAATAGGTTCGGCAACTTGAGAGGAAGATTTTCTTCTTGTGTTTTTTTATGAAAAAGTATATAGTTTGTTTTCTCGGCATTAAGTGAGAGTTTGTTAGCCTTAAACCAGTTATTTACTTTATTTAATTCAATATTCATGCCCGCATATAATTTCTTGATATCGTTGTTGGTAAGTAATAAATTCGTGTCATCTGCAAACATGACTGAATTAAGTTTTAAGAATGCAATACAAAAGTCATTTATATATATTAAAGAAAGGACCAAGAATTGATCCTTGTGGAACTCCCTATATGACATTTAACACTCCAGATTGGGCATTATTTCTAGCATTGCAAAATTAAAAGTTCGATTGTTGAGGCTGACTCGTTATTCGTTTTTGTTTTTACTAAAGCAATATCGTTTATTTTGTTGGTTAAAGTGCGTTAACCACTATATTGTCAGACATTCTAAGACCGATTCTAAAGTTGAGTAAAAAGATCACCATTTTTCTTGGAATATTTAAAACTCTGCAAAACGTAATAAAGATAGTTATTTAATTTTTTTAGACCTGATTCTTCTTCTCTCAATAGTATTGAACTCTCTTTTTTAGGCCTGATTCTTCATCTCTCGATTGAACTCTCATTTTGTATTGTAGATGGATAGGTCTTCAAAAGTGACAAGTTGAAGGATTTTAATTTTTCCAAATTTTGGCATCTCCTTCCTTGAGAAATAAAGGCACAAAAGCTGTACTGAAAAAGCTATGCATAGTGCTTTATTTTATGCTTAAGTTCAATAATCGTGTTGTTTGTGCCATGCTTCAACTTATAAATACTTTAGCTTGATGCTCCATCAAAACCAATCAATTCACAATTTGTATTATTTTATATATTTATTTACTTTATATATTTATTTAATTTTTATCTTTGTTTACCTACATTGTTTAACATTTTATTTTATTAGTGCTCTAACAATTATCACAATCAATTTTCTAATAATAATATTTATTTAAAAACTTTAAATAAATACTAATAATATTATATTAATGTTT